AAATCGGATTATTTGGAAGAGAGGGGAGGCGTCTTAGGCAGGTAGGCTATATTGTAATGACCCCCAGCGTGGAGGAGAGAGACTACCTATACTTGAGCAGCTAAACTAGCGAGCAGGGCGCTAGCATCTATGCTGTTCGATTAGTGCCTACTCCAGGTCCCATACATCGCACGACTCTGGGTAGCGCTTGGGCGTGTCCTTCACAATGACCACCATGCCACTCTGTCTTTCTGGTCATTTATTTAGAACACAGAACCGGACTCACACATCACATTCCCAACAGGGTCAGTTTTACACATACAGCTTAGACTTACGGTTCAGAAACACAGCACCCAACCAGCTAGCAAAACATTGTTAACACATACAAGTCATCAAGATAAACACAACAGGGTAACACATCAGAACACATCAGAACACATTAAAACACTTGTACAACTGTTCTCCGAAGTCATCATTGAACTCCCATGATGCCCCCCATGCATCATGTCGCTGCCACCAGACCCCTCCCCAATAGCCGCCGTAGGTCGCCACAATATTAACGATATAAGCAATCTACGTAACCCCGCCCCCTCCGGGCCGCGGTAAATTTGTCAAGCGTTGACCGGTCCGCAGTGATAAAAAGGTTGGGGACCACTGATTTACAGCATACAGAGACATTTCTGTAACTTTTCTTTAAAGGTAGGATTGACCATTCTTTTCAGAAGCATTTTTGTTACATATCTTGAAATTCTCTTTTCATCCTGATGACAGTGAATGCATTGACAACATTGACAAAGAAACAAATCTGTCATCTGGTGCAGTAGGGCTGAAAAACGCCTGACCAATTATTTTACTCAGCACGAGCAAAACCATTGGATGGTCTAAGTGCCTGTCAACCTAACTTCCTACTTGTATGCACTCTGTCCTTGCATGAGCCAGGGACCTCTCCCAAGGCCCTGGCAGGCAAAGCCTCCTCTTTTTTTTTTTTTTTTTTTTTTTTGATTTCCCACCCCCCCTTTCTGGCCAATATACTGCCTAAACCTAACCTCTTGGTTTAGTGGGCAAAGGTGTATTCATATCATTTGCACAATATTCATATAACTTGCATTTACTCACTGATCATCACTGAAATTTATTTATTTAGTTAGTTTTATTTATTTATTTTTAAATACTTTCAATCCAAAGGAAATAATAGGACATGCAATATTTCACCAGGAGACCCTCCTTGTCTGGATGGTGGCAATGTAAGGTGGAGATCACATAGTCTGTGGACAGACTGATATTATTCCTTTGGAACCAACAATTGATACTGATCATCACTGAGGGTGATCAATTCCTGCATGGTATGTGCAGCTCTAATCGACACAGACAGGTTACTATGGGTGGTGCCACATCCCTTTAATCTGGAGGTAGTGCTATCACATCTAAAACAACTGGACCTCCTGTGTCTAACTCTGTATTACGGAGCTAATGATCTATATTTACAGAATCTATTACAACTGGTTAACATCAGGATCTTTTATATATGCGATATCTGCATCTAGTGTAAGTTGAGCCTCAATAACTAAACCTAGCTCTAATAATAAAAATCTATATCATGTGAATCTGCAATAGCTGACCTTAAAGACCATTATTCTAAGTGTTTCTCTGCTGTGGATCTCTTTAAAGTCTGCTAACAGGCCGGTGGACCGTTATTCGGCACAAAAGGCAGGACGTGGATTTGCTGAGTAGTGCCGAACAAAGCCTTACCTTCCGGGCCAGCAGCGGGGGCAGCAGCAGACACAAGCTCCACAGAGAGCAGTTGGCCATGACTCCAGTCTCCGCAGACACGAACACCCAGTAGAAACTGATAATAGAGCAGTGGAAACGCAGCCTTGATATCGCTCAGTCTATGCAGACTTGATACCGTTACTCTGTCTGAAGTCAGCTCGGCTTCAGTGAGAGCCGCAATCCAGGCGTTTGCTATTTGACACACCCATACGGTGCCACTTCCTGCCTCGCCTTTCAAACTAAAGACTCAATTCAATTCAATGCAAATGCATTTGTATAGCGCCAAATCACAACAAAAGTCATCTCGTGACACTTTACAAAGTAAGGTCTATCTATCTATGCCGCTTATTCCCGAATAGGGTCGCTGAAGCCAATCCCAGCTGACACTGGGCTAGAACTGTGTCCACCCTGTACAGGTTGCCAGTCTATGCAGGGCTGACATGTAGACAAACAACCATACAAACTCGCACTCACACCTACGGGCAATTTAGAGTCACAACGCTAACCATCGGGCCATCTATCTATATATCTATCTATCTTTTTAATAGTACCAACATTAAAAAAAACCCTAAACTGCATAACCTGTGTTATGCAGTTAAAAATGCCCTCCACCTTATTCCCAATCCAAGCCAAGAGTCAGTTAACCTAATATACAAGCAATTATTTACATCATAAAACGAATATACATCAAAAACCCAATAATTCATATCGCTTTTAAATTATTTATTTTAAATTAACAGATTTATGAATTTCTTTGACTGGATTTAATTGGTGCAACTGCATTTTAATTGTAAATGCTTTGGTAACATTTGGATATAACTTCTTCCATCATGAAATCACTCAACAGTTGGAGTGACTTAATAAACATAAACCATAAACATAAATTCCTACTACCAGGAACAAAATTAGATTAGATTAAATTTTATTGTCTTTACACATGTACAAGTACAAGGCAACAAAATACAGTTTAGCATCTAACCAGAAGTGCAATGACAGCAGTGCAGAGTTTGCAGTATCTACAGTCTGTACAGACAGTACTAATTTACTGATAGATATGTACAATTGATATTTACAAAAGGTTATGTAAGGTCATGTACAATATACAACAGACTTTATGGGTTAAAATTACAAGTAAAGGATAATGGACATTAAGCTTATAAAACACTAGTGCAATGGGATGAAATGGAATTAAATAGTGCGGAATAAGAAGGATGGCTGAAGGCAGGTGGTTCTTCTTCAGAGTCCTCAGGAAGAAGAGGTGCTGGTGAGCCTTCTTAACCAGGCTGCATGTGTTGGTGGTCCAGGACAGATCCTCTGAAATGTGGGTCCCCAGGAATTTGAAGCTGGAGACACGTTCAACAACCATCTCATTAATATGGATGGGATTGTGTGTGCCTACTCTCTCCCTCCTGTAGTCCACAATGAGCTCCTTGGTCTTGTTAGTGTTAAGGAGCAGGTTACTGTCAACGCACCACACAGCCAGGTGTTGTACCTCCTCCCTGTAGGTTGTCTCATCGTTGTCGCTGATGAGGCTGATCACTGTGATGTTGTCTGCAAACTTGATGATGGTGTTAGAGCCGTGCACAGGCCTGCAGTCATGGGTGAAAAGGGAGTAGAGGAATGGGCTCAGCGCAGCTGGTGTTGAGGATGATGGAGGAGGAGCAGGTGTTATCTGATCTAACATGCTGAGGGCTGTTGGTCAGTTGCAATGGGATGTGCTGATGCTCAGATCTTCGAGTTTGGTGGTTAATTTGGAGGGGATGACCGTGTTAAATGCTGAGCTGAAGTCCACGAACAGCATTTTTGCGTAAGTATTGTTATTGTCCAGATGTCTGAGTACAGAGTGCAGTGCTATGGAGACTGCATCCTCCATGCTCACATTCCTGCAGTAGGCAAATTGATGGGGGTCCAGTGAGGGTGGGAAACAGGTCATCAGGTGTGCCAGGACCAAGCTCAAAGCACTTCTTCACAATGGTTGTGACTGCTACAGGGCATTAGTCATTCAGGCATGTTGGGGTGGAATGTTTCAGCACTGGCACAATGGAGGTGGTTTTAAAGCATGTTGGCACAACTGCTTGGGCGAGGGACAGGTTAAAAATGTCCATAAAGATGCCAACAAGCTGTCCAGCACATGCCCTGAGCACACGTCCAGGAATACCGTCAGGGCCAGAAGCATTGTATGTGTTGATCCAGCTCAAATTAATAGTATAATTGAGCTCTTTAAAGTATGAGCTTCACACTTATGGGATCAGAATTAATGGGTTACAGGGGCTCTCAAAGGGCAGTACTATCGCACAATATTATAATAATTATTCAGTTCAATTCAACTTTATTTGTATAGCACCAAATCACAATAAAAGTCATCTCAGGATGCTTTACAAACTAAGGCCTAGACCTTACAATTATTACTATATAGGAAAAACCCAACAAATCCTCCTTGAGCAAGCACTTGATGACAGTGGGGAGTAAAAACTCCCTTTAATGGAAGAAACCTCTGACAGACCCACGCTCTTGGTGGGCGGCCTTCTGCCTTGACCAACTTCACCATCTGATGGGGTCTCCGAGTTCACTGGTAGCTTTCAGAACATTTCTTTCACTCTATTGGCATATTTCCACTCTAGGCAGGCCTAACACTCATTAGCCCCATTCCACATAGTGTCAATTAACATAACTGTGTGACAGACAGTCCTGGAAGTTCCCACAGAAAGTCTCTGATAAGTGACTGTGCACTGCTGATGTTAGTTACAGCTAACATTAGCTAGATTAGCTATAGCCTACCTGTATCTAACATTAGCAGTTGCTGCAGCAGGCCTCTGCCACACCAGCATAACATTAGTTAAAAGTGAGCTGTAGCGTAGCTCAGTTCTGTGAGTAAAGACACTAGTAGAGAGAAACAGCAGTTTGAGAGCTCCAGCTGAATTTGGGGAAACCATTGCATGCAGTAACTATGCTGCGATGCTCGGCAAACAGAAGCCTCAATGTGAACAGTCAACAGTGCTTCAGGGGAAAGGCCTGTCCTATGCAAATCACACTCTTCTTATCCCTGCCCCTCAAAGCCTGTCACCAAAACAGTGACAGAGAAGTGAAATTAAAAGAAAAAGATTTGGCATTGAAAAACACTGACATGAAAAAAAAATCACAAGATTCTTGACATTGATCTGGCTCCCTACATTTCCAAACACCATCTTTTGTTGAACAGTCTGCTTTCATTCAGGTTGTTTTCTCCTCTGATGTTGCTCTGCTTTGCAGAACCTGCTAGTCTGTGGTTAGTGAGACAGTGTCAGCAGTGTTTATCATAGTCTCATTGTTACGTTTGACATCATGTTTTGCTGCTTGTCAATCTGAAACATTTATTTATTTACTCCACACTGTGCCCTGTTAACATTAACATTAAACCTGTGTTTCATTCTTTACTGGAAGGTGGCATTGTTGTGCCTTGTGATGACTCCCCAGTACGATCAGCCATTTTTCCAGTAAAGAAAAACAGAGATGCTGGCCAACCTACTGAATGGAGATTCGTGCACAATCTGTGCGCAATAAATGGGGTAACACATATGCATGTGCCCAAAGTATATAATTTTATATCAAGTGCAACTGGGCTCCACATACTGTATTTGTCTGTTGTTGATTTGGCAAATGCGTTCTTTTCAGTTCCAGTACATTTTGACAACAAGTACTGGTTTGCTTTCATGTTTGACGGTAAGGTTTATAAGTAGACAATGGCCCCTCAAAGCCATCACTCTAGTCCCAGCCATTTCCATCAGACATTCAATGAAAATCTCAGAAATCTTTCATTTCCTACAGGAGCCACCTTGCTGCAATATGACAATGATTTGTTGTTCTGCAGCCAGATGGAGGAAGCCTGCAAACCACCACCATGGTGCTCATCAAACATCTAGCTAAAAATTGCCACAAAGCTAGTCTCTCAAAACTGCAGTTTGCACAACCTAAAGTCACCTAGCTGGGGTATGTTATCACAGTAGAGGGCAAACCCCTCTCCCCAAAATGCATTCAGGCCATTCAAAATGTTCCAAAGCCCCTTACAAAGAAACAACTCATGCATTTTGTTGGAATGACATCATCCTGTTGCCAGTGGATTCCACATTATGTTTTTTAAAGTGTCGTGGATTTTGTTACTTATTTGTGTTACATGCATAATTGCACAATGACTGCTGCACATGCTGCTCCCATGCAGCATACACTCTCTGTTATATTCTTATATATTTTTTATTATATTGCTGCATTTGTTGCTGCTTAAAGTGCCTTAGATTTTGTGTTTCTTATTTATCTACTTTATATTTCATTTGTATTTTGTGGCATTCATGTGGACAGCAAAGTAAGAATTTCACATTTCCTAACTGTGCTTATGACAAAATAAACACTTTGAACTTTGAAAAAGAGGCTCCTCTCTCTTCACTCATTCATGACAAAGGTCTTGCAGCCACTGATAGAATCTAGTGGACATCTGAAGCAGGAGCTGCCTTTATTGACTTAAAGACTGGTCTGATGTCTGCTACCCACACTAGGCCTTCCAGATCCAATAAACCATTCACAGATTTTGTTGACCAAAAGGCACAATTCATGACCTCACTTTTGTGTCAAAAGCATGGAGGAAAACTATGTCCTGTGGCATTCTTCTCTGCAAAACTTGATCCTTTTTCTGCAGGGCTCCCACTCTGTGTCCATGCTATTGCTGCTGCAGAGGCTATTCTGGCTGCCAGGGATATTGTTGGCTACTCAGACTGCACTCTTATGGTACCACATGCTGTTTCACAGCTCCTGCATATACACAAGACCTCTCATCTTTTGAGCACAGTGCTGGTTAAGATACAGTATCATACAGTGTTTCTTTAACTGCTAAATATAACCATTTCATGTTGTAATGTTTCAAACTCAGCTACTCTTCTCCCTGCACAGGATGATGGAGATGCAAACATTGGCGAACATAGTCTGGACACCTTGGATGGCTCTAAAATCCATTCTGTTGCAAAATGCTGACCGGACCTTGTTTGTTGATGGCTCTGCCTTTAAAGAGCCTCAGACCGGTACTTCACATGTGGGTTTTGCTGTTGCTTCTTCTCATGCTGTTTTAACTAAAGGCAGATGCCCTTCTTACTTTTCGGCACAACCTGCAGAGTTGGTTGCTGTCACTGAAGCTTGTAAATTGGCAGACCATACCTCACAGTGTACACGGACAGCCGCTATGGGTTTGGAGTTATGCATGACTTTGTTCATTACATTCACAGGCAAACCTGTGGCACACCATCTGTTAATTGTTTAACTATTAAAAAGATAGAAGATGAATTTAAACGTTAGTCCAATCTTCCTCTCAGTCATCGGCCGAATTGCTACTGTGAAAATGAAAACTCTACCTCAAATCAACTACCTGTTTACAATTCTTCCCACAACACCTGCAGATAAATGGTTTAAATCACTTGATTCTATAACTTCACAATTTTATTGGAAAAACAAGAAACCCAAAATCTCCCTATCTACACTTCAAAAGAAGAAATCACTAGGTGGCCTAGAAGCACCAAATTTCCAATATTATTACTGGGCAAATCAGCTATCCTAGAAATGCTCACTAAGATTTAGACAGATTTGTGAACAATATTTGAGAGAAATAGGCCTTTTGTGTACATAGAAAAAGTCACAGATCTTTGATTTCAGCTCATGAAAAATGGGGGCAAATATAACAGTGTTGCGGTTATAATTGTGTTCAGTGTATGTATAGATTTATTAATTTTATTAATTTATCCATCTTGCTACAAAGGACAGGAGAAATGTAAAACCAGAAAGCTCAATGACACCAAGAGCCCGATCTGTCAGAAGAGATTCAAGTAAAAAGTTTTTATCACATAAACAGTCTAACAGGTGATCTGCCTAATTTAAGCAGCGGTTTGTGGCTATTATTCTTCAAATGTGGCAAAGGAAAAATAGTCTTGAAGTGTAAAAAAGGGCTCTAGGGATGACGCCTGTCTTGGAGTTAGTGTGGGAGACACATTTGATAGATTGGAAGTCTCTGCTTCATGAGTGACTGACAGACCTGCACACAGAATGTGTGCTCTCCTCACTGCTCTTCTCTTTCTATACCAATGATTGCACCTCAGGGGATCCCTCTGTTAAACTCCTGATGTTCACAGATCACACAACGATCATCAGTCTCCTCCGAGGTGGTGTTGGATCTGTGTACAGACAGGAAGTTGATCAGCTGGCCCTGTGGTGCAGTCACAACAACCTGGAGGTGAACACTCTCAAAACACTCTTCCCTCCTGATAAAATGTTCCGTCCTTACAAACAGAAAACCAAGTTGCTTTCAATGCAAAAAAAAAATGGATACAGACTAGCACATATTTTTCACTTGTCCGAACCTCAAGTTTGCTTGACCTGGGCAAGCACAAATGTCGAGCCCTTAAATGTATGATTAATTATAATGTTTATAGATGACTTATAACATAGGCTATGAACATAGCCTTAGAACATAGGCCTGCCAGATTCTCATTTGGAATGTAGCCTCTACAACTATTGGATGGATTGTCATGTATTCCCCATGTTCCCACAAGAGGATGAACTGTAATAACTTTACCTTGACTGACTTTTCATTTAGTGTTAACATCAGGTCAAAATTCCAGTTTGTCCGATACTTATTCTTATAATCAATTACTTACAAAAAAGAACAACATTCTCATCACGATTTGTTGTACTGTGTTTAGTGCTATCTGCTAAATCACACGGTCATAACATGGAGCACAATAGCCATTGATGTACATGATTCTGAGTATATCATCATTTAATAGGCAAACAGTCAAATGGCTACAAAAACAATCATTATTTCACTTGACAGTATCTTCTGTCTTGGTACCTACATATTTTTTATGACCTCTCGGCTTCAAAAACAAAACAAAAACAAAACAAAACAAAAAATAATAGAGTGTCTCAGACAGAAACCTAGTGTTTTGTTGTCAGTGTCTGTAAAAAGGAAATGGCACTTGTTTTGAAGATTTAGAATAAATTTGATTTGTCACGCTGCTACAATAAGAAATGGGAGCCATGTAAATGTAAGAGAATACATCTGTTATCACTGTCATTAGGCATGAGATCTATAAAATACTGTACTGTAATTTGGAGACTTCACAATAAAAATAGTAAACATGTTACAGGATATTCTATGGCCTTTAAGCTTTTACTCAAAATGAACTAAAATGTACAACTAAACAAGTGTTGTAACTAAAGAAAAACACCTCTCTATTTTGTTGTTTAAAACATAAAAAAAAGTTGTCACAGCATGTTTCTTGAGAAAACAATGTTTCCCTACTGTCAAATAAAATGATGTGATCTTGAACTGATGGAAAACGTTACTGAAAGCTTTTGAAATGACAAAGTTCAGTATGTGGTACCTCATTAAGCACAAAGTAACTAGGAAGCAAAACAAATACATATTGAAAAGTATGCAGGAAAAATTGTATCAACATTTACATTTTGATGCATGCAGCTGATTTTTCTGGGCAACAATCTTGTCTTCACTGTGCTTGGCCATAAAGCAAAACTGTTAGACCACATAACAGGCTTCTTAGCATTGATCCAGGGCTGTTACATTCAACTTATTTTCCACTAAGCTTTATCTGCATTTAAATTGGTACAAAAGACGTGACACTACTTAGAAATGGTCAGGCCTTTTAGACACCTACATTTAGACTCCTTTCATTTTCAAGAGTTCAGAATATGACAGAACTGAAGCTGAAGGAAATACAGCCCTGAACAAATAAAAAACAAATCAAGATTTTTGTGACTTTGTCCCTGTGTGCTTTCAAGTCTAGGCTTTTACCACTTAAGTCTTTCCACCACTGATGATATTCCATAGAGTTGAGGTTCCACTGATGGAGAAAATGCCATCTCAGCTTTTCTTTTGTTACCTCCCTGTATAAATACATGGGTGAGGTTACAGCACCAAAGGGAGTTGGTTTAATTGCGAAGGACTGATTACCTGACAAGTGCTGTTTATGTTGTAACATTTGGTATACAGCCTTTTGGTTGAAGTGTCTTAACATGGTTTACATACGGTCTGCTGTGCACATAAGAAAAATAGAGCACCAAACAACAAAATATACCCGGAAATGCAACATATACTACGGTACTTAGAAAATCAGAGTTCAATAAGATATAAAAAATAAAATAAAGATTGCATTTGTGGTTCTTGTAAAACTCCAGTATATGTAAAAAAAAAAAAAAAAAAAAAAAAATTCATTGTTAAGATTTCAGTGCTGGTGGTAGAAGAAGAAGAATGAGAATGAAACAGTCACATCAGATCAAAATTTTGCTGTATGTCAAGTTATCACTATTACACTAGCCAGCTGCCCTCTGCTCTCATGTGTGCTGCTGCTGCTGCTGCTGCTCCAGCATGACTTCACAGGTTCGTCCCAGTTCTCCCAGTTTGACCTTGGCATATTCTGCTCTGTTCAGTGCCATCTGGCAGTCCTTTCTGGCTGAATAAGTGGAGCCTTCATGAGGTTGACCAGTAGCTACCTGGTAAAAGACCAGAGAGTTAGCTTTATTATGCTGCTCACAATATGAAGCACTTTAACTGATTTTGTTAATACTGCACTAGTAATATTTGTGAAGCTCATTTGTGAGGTGAACTCACAATCTGCACATTATCCCAAAGCAGCTGGTGGACTGGAAAAAAAAAACAATGGCTGTCGGACCTAGTGAACTGACACTATAGTGGAAGCTAAACACGCTTACAGTAAATGCTGTTTACCGCCATCTCTAATTCTGACTTGACACCTACACCAAAACTGTGCTGTCTCTAAGTTTCTTCTAAAAATTCTAGGATCACTTGTTTTGTTTTCCACTGAATCATTGCCCAATGTCAGCACCACTGTATCCTGTTAACACATAACAACTATCAACCTACCTCCCATTCATGCTATGTAGGAGGTGGGTTGATAGTTACTCTGTGTTAACAGGATACTATCAAATCAATTAAAGAGTTTCTGAGTAGCTTCCACGCTTCACAATATGGACAGATATACTATACAGCAGTATAGTAATCTTCCATCCATCCATTCATTATCTATACTGCTCATTCCTGAATAGAGTCAGGTGGGGGCTGGAGCCAGTCCCAGCTGACATTGGGTGAGAGGCAGGGTACACCCTGGACAGGTCGCCAATCTAGTATAATAATCTTAAACTACTAAAAATAACAACTTCAATTTATACATATAATTATTGTTGTCAAGGAGAAACTACTGAAGTGCATAGCATCCACCAAAAAAAACAAATTGGTGGCTCTTATCTCATAATTATGATGTACTATCTAATAATTACTAGATCACAATCTCATAATTAGGAGAAAAGATCTCCTAATTATGAGAGACTTTTCTTGTAACTCTGAGATAATGCAGGGGTTGGAACATTGCAGAATTTGCCTGATAATCACCTGGTTTTAATGAATTCTTTAGTATCAGAGTAATTCAGCACATCTAATAGCGCAAAACAAAAGTTAACTATTAATATTAATATTCATCATACTTGTATTAATATCGACAGGCCTCAAAGCTGCTGCCTGCACTGTAACTCACTAAAGGCCTATACATGTACTGAGCAGGAATTGGAAAGCTTCAGAACAGTAGAGTTTTAAGTGGCATTTATGGATGTAACTATGTACTGTAGTGCCTGGCACAGGTGTGCCAAAGTAATAATGAGCCCATGTGGTTATATTGCTTATAGAAGAGCTTTGGTTCTTGATGCAGTGTTGTCTGAGGGATCGGAGAACATGGTCATCCAGTTTAGGCTTACGCCCTTTACACACTGAAATCCCTCCAGATTCCTTGAATCTTTTAATGATGTTCTGCACCGTAGAGGGTGACAGATCAAATCCCTTCCTATCTTTCTTTGAAGAACATTGTTTTTAAACATTTCAATAAATTTCTCACACATATGTTGGCAAACTGGTGGTCCTCGGCCCATCTTTGCTCCTAACGAGCCCAGCCTTTCCTGGATGCCACTCATCATGATTGCAATAACCTGTTGACATCACCTGTTTCAAATGGAATTATCATTTCATTGTTTTATCTCATTACTGCCCTGAAATGCAGCCATCCAAACTTTTTTTAGAATGTGTTTGAGGCAACAGAATTTACAGAGGCTCGAGGCCTCTGTCACCATAAGTTTTACCCTCTAACATTCGCAAGCGAGAAGTGACAGCTATGATTCTACTATTATCAAGCAAATAAACAATGCAAGTTCATTTTCAGCGCCCCCTCAGCAAGTCATCCAGGTGGTGTTAGGGAGTGACAGATCTGGACCATTTGCAACATGCTGAAAGTCACTGTTGCCAAGTGCTCAGGCAGACTAGACGATGCCTCCCCTAGAATGTTGTTTTATGAAGCCATGGCCATCGTTAATAGTACATTAACTGTTGATGGAATCACTGATCCCAGTTCATCTAAACCCCTGACTCTAAACCACCTCATCTTGATGAAATCTAAAGTTGCCTTACTACCTGGTGAAAGGTTTGTGAAAGAGGACACTTGCGCTGCAAAAAGGTGGCACACAATACAATTTTTGACCGAACAATTCCATCCCAAGACCATCCCTCCGAATCCTCAATCACTGATCGACCAGTTCAAAAGTTAGTGCTACTTCTTGAGAGTGAATAATCCAAAGATAGACTTACATCAGACATGTTTGTCTGTTTCAGTGGTGACCTGTAAGTGTGGTCATTTTGTTGTAGTCTATAAATTGTGTAAAACTCAATTCGGCTTGTCTGTTTACTTGAATTAATGCGTCATGACAATTAGGTGGGAGTATAAATGACTGCTAAGTCACGGATTTATTCATGTTCCTGTAGATGCAGGTTTACCATTGCCATTTGCCCTTGAATCTGTATAGCTATGTTGCAGAATTTTTTTAACTTGATGTTTCATTCGCTTTACTAATCTCCATGTAACATGCAAGTAGCATAATATGTCATAAAATATATTGTTGTTTGCCATTTGGCACTACAGGATTAATGTTAATACTTTATGAGCTGCTGTTGTACTACCGTTTACAGCAGCATCTATGCTGTTTTTAGCTCAAGTGTGTCTACCAAGCTAGCGGTTCTTCAAATGGAGGCAGCTAATCTTTAGAGTTTCCCCAACTTGCACCCTTAATAAGTGGACTGAGGTACGTTAAGCTCTTTGTAAGGACTGTGGGCTAATTCATGGACTGCAAGCATTCACATTTGGTGCTGCTGAAAGTATCAGAGAGACATGCTAACTCAGCTAAGCTAATACGGTATTGAACTGTTAACTGTCTATACACATTTCTGTCACTGAATTATTAAACAGGAACTTGGTGGTGCAGTGCATGAAATTCAAATTTAAATGTTACACTGTAAAAATTACATATCTTGTTTAGACGTTGAACTTTGTACTATACAAAAGCAGCTATTTTGTGCTCATTTTCAGTTTTCACGGTGCTAACTGCTGTGAAGTCTCATACTTCTTCTCGAGTCCAGATAGCGGAAAGAATATTCAGTCACAACACCAAATATCAAAGTGCACTATTACCTTTTATTATTTTGCAGATATATCTGGAGATCATACAGCAAGCAGCAGGGCAGATGATCTGAAGTCACATCACCAAAACTGTGTGTTATATACTATTCTTCCCTCCTTCTAGCACATTCCTGCAGCATGCAGCTGGACATTATCAGTGCTCTCCCAAAGATATTCCTGCAGGATGCAGCTGACAATTATCATTACTTTTCCAAAGATATTCCCCCTAGCACAACTCCCTAATTCCAACGTAGTACATTCTGTAATTAAATGAACACACATATTGCTAATGAATTGAGTGAACACACACACCTACTTCTACTAAAATTGAAGGTTATATTCCTTATTAGTACATTTATAAAAACAGTGCTCATGCTTTAATCTGAGTGAAAGTTGTATTCCTTATAACTGCATAGAAAATGATGATGGTGATTCAGTTACAGTGACTATTCCTTATATGTGCATAACAAACGGTGCTGGTGCTTGAGTTGCAATGTCTCACACAACTTAATATCCAACACTACTCAGGCAATGCTAAGTGGTCTTTTGGCTTAGATAAATAAAAGTGTGCATCTGTCGAGACTCTGTTGTCATCATTGAAATCAAGGGCCGCTACATTAAGTATGCCAAATTAACTATTATCAGTTCATTTTTGCTGTGTGGTATTGTAGGTATATTGGAAAAATCTTAAAACCCAATGTTTCTCAAGCAGGTTCTGTAGCTTTCCAAATCCTGCTCAGAACATGTAGACTAGTGGGTTACACTGCAGGCAGCAACTCTGAGGCCCATTTGTAGTCTATATTTGTTTACATTTTGGAACACTAAGTATACCAAATTAGCTATTAATACTTCACTTTTTGCTATGCAGTTTTGGATGTACTGACAATTATCACTAAATGAGTTTGGTACTCAAGAATTTGTTAAAGCCTGATTATTTTCAGGCAAGTTCTGCAGCGTTCCAGCCCCTGTGTCTTAACCCCTATGACTTACTGTCTCATAATTACAAGATCTCGTAATTATGAGCTCAGGCTCTTGTAATTATGATATAATAAGTCATAATTACAAAATCTTTTTTTTCCTCTTTGGTGAATGCTATGTGCTTCATAAGAAACAGCCTTCTGAAACAAGACTGGTACCATGAAGCACTAAAACACACACACACACACACACACACACAAAAACAGTACTGTGTATTTGACCTGTGTGAGGTAGCGGATCTGGGCGCTCAGTTCATTCTCCACTCGGCTGACAGAGCTCTGGAACTGGACTAGCTGTCTGTCCAGGTGGCTAGCATTAGGTTTGTCTTTGGAGAGTTCCAGAACTATATTACCTGCACAGGTAAACATATAACAACTTATCAGTTTTATGACCAACAAATAACAAAGTGAGATGTGAGCAGTGCATAAGCTACTGAAGCATTTCATCCCTTCAGTCCCACACTTGACTCTAATGTATTACATAAACTCAAATCACAGAGATAATCTTCCATGATCTTTCACAACTGAAACATTTTAACCCTGTACCGTTCTTTGTGTGAAAGTTGCTAAACTTCATTAATGTTTTAGTTCAACAATTTTCAATAATAGGATGGAAAGATAGTTTAATAACATATTTTAAAAAAGCCCTTTGTAGTGCTAGAACTGCATATCATTCATCACTGATAGAGGAAACTAAGAACAACCCCAGGTTTCTTTTCGGCAATATAGAGAGGCTAACAAAGAGCCACAGTGCTGTTGAGCTTAATATCCTTCTCACAACTCTCACAGATCATCAAATATAACAGCTTTGGAAAGATATAAGACCTCATTTATATTTGGTTCCCCTCCATAGATCTCTCTGAGCTGACCTCAACAATTGATTCATTTTAATCATCAACATGTCTCTTAGACCCCATCCGGCTGTTAAGATTACTGTAAGGTTACTCAAAAAGCCTACTCTTGACCCAGGTGTCCTAGCTAATTATAGACCAATATCCAATCTCCAGTTTTTTCTAAAATCCTTGAAAAAGCTGTTGCAAAGCAGTTATGTGACCACTTGCACAAGAATGATTTGTTTGAGGATTTTCAGTCAGGATTTAGAGTCCATCATAGTTCAGAAACTGCACTGGTGAAAGTCACCAATGATCTTCTCCTAGCCTCAGATAAAGGACTTGTCTCCATACTTGTCCTCCTATATCTCACTGCTGCTTTTGACACCATTGGTCACAGCATCTTATTACAGATAGTTGAACATGTTATTGAGGATAAAGGAGCTGCACTAATCTTACTTATCAGCTAGATTCCAGTTTGTTCATATCAATGATGAATCTTCCGAGCAGACTGTAGTCATAGCATTCCATCGGGCTCTGTGTTAGGTCCAATTCTCTTCACTTTATACATGCTCCCTTTAGGCAATATTATCAGACACATAATAAATTTCCATTGCTATGCAAACGATACTCAGTTATATTTATCTGTGAACCTAGATGAATCAGGTTAATTGGTCAAAGTTCAGCCATGTCTTAAAGACATAAAGGCCAGGATGACCTGTAATTTCTTACATCTAAATTAATAGACTGAATACACTGGACCATGTCTACAGTAACATACAGGGTGCATGTAGTGCTGCTTTTGACACCACAGCATCTTATTACAGAGACTTACAGATGTATTACAGAAAATTTCTTACTTCTAAACTCTGACAAAACTGAAGTTATTGTACCTTGGCCTGAAAACAATAGAAATCTGCTGTCTAACCACATAGTTACCCTAGATGACAGCTCTGGCCTCCAGTACTACTGTGAGGAACCTTGGAGTCATTTTTGACCAGGATATGTCCTTTAAATCACACATACACCAAGTCTCTATGTCCCAGTAATTCCCTAAAAGCCCCCAGTTAATCTGTATGACCTGCTGCATACAGATTAACTGTATGCAAAATGCTGCAGCCAGAGTACTGACTGCAACTAGCAAGAGAGATCAGATGTCTCCTATATTAGCTTCTCTCCACTGGCTCCCTGTAAAATGCAGAATAGAATTTAAAATCCTTCTCCAAATCCTTCTCCTAGCCCTTAATGACAAGGCTCCATCGTATCTTAAAGACCTCGTAGAGCCTTATCATCCTAACAGAGCACTTCGCTCTCAGAGTGCAGGTTTACTTGTGGTTCCTAGAGTCCACAGAAGCAGAATGGGAGGCAGAGCCTTTAGCTATCAAGCTCCGCTCCTATGGAACCAACTCCCAGTCTCAGTTCGGGAGGTGGACACCCTCTCTACCTTTAAGATTAGACTTAAGACTTTCCTTTTTGACAAAGCTTACAGTTAGGGTTTGAACCGTGAACTTGTGATCACAAGCTTGCTTCTGTAATCTTCAGGCCACCACACATCCCCTGTCCCACATCCCATGTCTTTCAGACATTGCTGGTTTCATCTGTCTGTTTAAGTGACAGATTCTTTATAGAGAATGATGATGATATAGAACTCAAAAAAATATTTTCTTCATCAATATCTCATAACTTAACAAGTTGTATTTCAAAATTATAGCCTACCGTCTTACCTTCTTGCCAATATATTGTACTGTAATTTCATCTATTGCTGTTAATACAAACATACCCATCATTACAGCTTTGATTAATGTGTTTTTCTTTATTTCAGTGTTCTACCTCAAATATAAAAACATGACGCTAACTACATGTGACATTATGATAAAAGATCGTTACATGGGATCCAAATAAAATTCTCCTTATTGGACCTGAACCTGCTAAAGCTGTGTGATAGCTACTATCAACTACAGCAATGTAGGCATATAGTTAGTCTAAATCGTGCAATGATGTTTACGTTTGCGATATTAGCGTTAAGTCCTCACCAGCACACTGCAGGATCATCGCTATCTCCTTCTCCACATCCTCCAGAGCTCTGAGTCGCTCATTAGCCATCAGTAGGCAGGGAACGGCTACTGTCAGCAGCTCTGTTAAGTTTTACGGCACAATAACATACAGTTTAATCCAAACAACTCAGGTCAGCGTACACAGTGGAATGTTAAACCCGAACTCATTTGCCTCTTACACTCTTACAAGGTAGCAGAACATAGAACAACTAAATGACGTCACGCAGTCGCACAGTAGTGACGTTCGCTTGGTCGAGAGGAAAGATGGCTACATCGCCTTGGCTGCATGGCCCATCTGCTATGCGACTAACAGAGGGTTTGGTGTCGGTTTTAAAAGAACACCGCCCAGAGTATTTACCTATTCTGTTGGCCAGCTATAGAGAATATGGCGTGCTCCCGACACAGGTAGGGCCCCGCCTGAATAAGTATGTTAGCATAGAAGCTAGCCTGCTGTGGCTGTGCTGCAGCTGCTACACGCTTTATTGTCCATCTTGAGCTGACACCTGGAGACAGTGTATAACAGAGGCCCAGGTTTTGCTGTAGCTGTTAAATATGTTTTGCCTTACTTGCTTCCCAGTTATGACCTTTGCTTCTTAATACAGGGCTCCAGCGCCCTCGGGGGTATCGTGGGTTTCAGCAATGCCAAACTGGGTTCCAGCAAAACCAGGTGAGAAATGATTTCTTCTGAGTGGTCAAGTTGTTACAAGATTATTGTCTCGTTCGTATCTTTAGCTATTATATTAACGTTATCATACGTATTGCGTTATCTGTACTAATGTTGCTTTAAATAGCAAATGCAAACATGAACTATTAAAATATTTTTCACTAACGTTGAAAGTGTCATGTGACTTGCTAAGTGCCAAAAAGTAGCCCAAACAACAGATTTTATATTTTCACTTAAAATACACACAGATGCTACTTCACACCGTTTATTTGGTGTAGCTTTTTATGAGACAACGATTCAGTAAAGTCCATTTATGTTCAGACAGGGTAGGGTGTCATTTAAATATCTCAAACACTGTGAAGGTCTCAGTGATATTATCGAATCATTATTTCTGTATCTCCTTTGTACCGTGTATGTGTGTCTGTGGTTTGTGAGAGTAGGTTTGAGGGGCTCTGTCTGCTCTCCATGCTGGTTAAAGACAGTTCCAGTGATCTGTTCCAGCAACACTGCCTTTCCTGGCTACGCTCCCTGCAGCAGGTCATACAGGTATAAGGCATAGATAAACACATTCTTGTTTGTGTTGCTCAAATCTGTTAGTCTGCCTCATCTGTAAAACCTGAATTACGTCCAATTGTAAACTTGAAATTTTACATAGCCCAGCTTCCTCTTTTCTGATTCTTATTCCCCCATCCTCTCTCCTGTGTGAATTGTCTTTTAGTCTCAGGCTCCAGTTCAGACTATCCAGCTAACGATGAACATTCTAAAGGATTTGCTGCAGTACTCATCCCAGCAAGCAGAGCTGGCCAGAGAGGTTGGACTCAATTACATCCTGGGCTTCCTGACATCTCTGCTGAGCCTCAAGACAGAGGTGAGGGAACAAGGTGTGGAAGGTAGTGGAAAATTTTATTTTGCAGGGACAAGTTATTGCTGACTGAAGAGCCACATAGAGCATCAATTTAAAGCAAACTCTAAAGCAATGTGTGGATTGTTGAATTTTTTTAAAGATTTGTTTGTGCTGAAACAACTAATTAATTGTTTAACTGAAAATTAAAATCATATGTAGTAGGTTTATGTGATTATAGCATCTTCCAAATTATAGCACAAGTGTTTGTAGAAAAACAAGATAAATCTGGCGAAGTCTATGAGCTGGTTTTATGCTTGGTTCTGACTACATGATTTAAGACTGATAATAGCCCTGCTCGACAGTCATACAGGGCATCAGATGCGACAACCACACGGTCATTTTATCTCATAGCGTGCCATTGTAAATGATGACTGACGCCACATTTGTGACGTTGCATGACATCCCGAAACAAAGTCTAGTATGTGAGAATTTTTTTCTACTTCTGCAGTGTGTTGGGGCAGTGCTGACCAGTAAATTAGCAACTATTGTGGTAATCATTTAGAGCATTGTGATGGCATGTCTCACTATTGTCAGAAGTTTTACAAGTGTTACACATCTCTTTTCATCGGTACATTTACCATTGTTTACTTATCTATGGAGGAGGAACTCAAATTAATTAATGCTGTTGCGGTTCGTCTCACTGTCCACGTTCACGAACTAATCTCTTGTTTTTAGGAAGAGGCTCCAAATTTGGTTTTAATGTTATAAAATAATTACAGACTATTTAGCGTTACAAGGAGTGCAAAGCTAATGTAGAGGTACCCAAGATTAAACAATAAATGGCTGGAAATGAGCAAAATGAGCAGCCATGGGCTCCTTAAATAAACAATGTGAATAGTTCCTTTGTTATATAACATGCTATTATGCTTTTTATGCTTTTCATGTTTATAATTCTGTTTGTTCTTTAGGGTCAGTGTATTGCTGCGATCCAGCTCAATCAAGCAGCACGGTCACTTGCATTAAAAAAAAGACCCTTGTGTTTTCATTACTTTGATGGTCGTTGTTGCTTATAACAATAATAATAATTATGTAATACTGTGTACCTTAATACCATGAAACCATGATATTTTTTGAGACATTTATTTCTTCTGGCACAAAACGATTGATTATTTGAAAATGTTAGCAGGGTTTTTATTGACAGTGAAAATAACCCGGTTGTTGCAGCCTTTTATACTAACCATTTGAACCCCATTTTTCTTTTTCCTTCTGTGAGCTTAGTGTGAGCTGGCAGCCATGGAGGGGATGACAGCCTGTATGACCTACTATCCTAGAGCCTGTGGATCCTTACGGGTAAGATGAACTAATGGAGAAAGAACACAAGGAAGATGGAAGTGGAGGAGATTTTTCTCAATATAATAACTTTTAAGCTAGTTATAAATAACTTTAAGATTATCTATATTTCACTTAAATTATTTGAGGAAAAATGAGAAACGTGTTGTCTTTTTTCCTCCTTTAGGACAAGCTGGGAGCCTATTTCCTTTCCAAAATGGAAAGCACAAACAAGAAAACACAAGAGGTTGTGCTTCTCACCTTTTCTGTCCTTCATGCAGGGTTGTGTGAAACTGTAGCCGTGTTTATTTGTGCTTTAGAACATAACCACTGCAAAACAATCAGAAAATGTTTTATTTATCCGATTGACTGCTTTTTTTCTTGCGCTGCTCACTCTTTTCACTCACACTTCACCACTGCTCGCTTAGTGGCATGGATTTAGAGCAAGCAGTCAAATTTGGCCACAAAGATTAAAAAAAAAAAAGACTGATCCTTTCCTTTCTACCAAAGAGAAGTTGAAAAGAATCATATTGCTTGCAAACGTAACACCATAACAGCTGAAGCGATTACATCAGTCCTGTCTTGTCACTCAGACAGGACAGTGTATATACAATTGCAAGACAAAGTAATGGCACTCTTTGCAGTTTTCTGCATAAATGTGATCTGATCGTCACCAAAGTCACAAATATCAACAAACACAATCATTCTAAGCTGATACAACACAAAAAGTCATGACCTTTCATGTCTTTATTGAACACACCCATTAAACACACCCAAAAAAGTCATGGCAACGCCAGGCTTCTGATGTCACTAAATGTCAGTTGGAGCTGAAGCAGTTCTATAAGGACGAATGGTCTAAAATTCTTCCTGAACATTGTGGAGGTCTAATCCACAGCTACAGTGAGGAAAAGAATTATTTGATCCCCTGCTGATTTTGTAGATTTGCCCACTTACAAAGAAATGAAAGGTCTATAATTTTTATCATAGGTTTATTCTAAAGGATAGAGACAGAATATCAACAAAAATCAGAATTGCACTTCCCAGCTTAGTAATTTTCATTGGGCATGTAGTTCCCGTCAGCGGACTGGGAGATCTGCTCTTACTACCATTTAAGTCGGAGCCAGTGCCTACTTTGTGAACTAAAAACCCATACATAACGAGCTATTAGTGTAATCTAAGAAACACATCAAATGAAGCACAGTACCACATGCGTGCGCACACACAGGCACTAAAGCCGCGCTGCACAGACATTGTCGCACAGATCAAGCAGATAAACCTGTGGAGGAACAAGAGTAGAAAAACTGAAGTGATATCCGATGAGTGTGTTCAGAGCTAAAGTCCTAAACTTTCCTGCAGAGGTGCTGCTCACAGCACTTGGTTTAGAGAAAGCAAAACTGAAAAGCTGTTTCAAATGAAACATTAGAGCAGAATTCAAAACCGAACATGAGCCGCTGATGTGACATCGCCTATTGTGCCTCCATGATTCTCCCTTCTCCACTTTTATCTCTTGCTGTATTGTAGGAAAATGCAGCACTTCATTCAAGAGTTAAAGTTATGTTGCATCGGAATACAATCTAATGACCCAATATGTTCACTACAAAGCGTTTCAACATTTGCAGTGTAGTTGCATAGGCTATGTAGGAGTGTAATTTTTAGACGAAAGTGTGTCTTTTTGGCCACAACAGGCCCTGAAATTCAGAAAAACCTGGGTACTAGTCACGAGAGCATAAATGAGTAACAGAGCCTAAGAGTGTCTGTCTCTTTTCTGTAGCATAGAGTTGACTATGGTTCCACCGCGGTCCAGCCAGCAATTTAAGATGGCTACATCTATCTATTTGAATTTATATTAAATGTATATGATTTTTTTAATACTGAGCTCGATTTATGTGCAGAAAAGTACAGCACAGTCTCAACAAGTGAAGCAAAATATAACAATTAAAGCAGTTTTTCTTCAGGCTTTTTAACATTTTTGCATCTCTCACTGTCATTCTGTCAGATGGCTTGTCAGTGTTATGGTCGCCTGCCTTGTTTGGGGGGTGTGTTGGACAGAGGAGTGAGTGCTGGCAGAGCTGAGGGCTGGACTAAGCAGATTCACTGTTTATTGGCCTCAGCCAATAACCTGTTGGCTCAGATCTATCAGGGTTCGGAAACAGGTACAGTGTTTAATTTATTTTATTTTTATAAGTGATTGTTGAATTTTTCTGTAGAACCTGGGTCTGTTTCTAATTTTTTTGTTATGTAATTTATTGTGGTTGTTTTTTAAATAATAGCAACACATAAACCTAGCCCCACACAGACAGCAAGCATACTTAGATTTTATATGGTACATAATGCTGAATTTTGAATTGTGAGTGATATAATAACAAAGCATCACAAATATCAATATCAGTGTTTTGATATGGAGAGGGGGAGTCTTATGAATAGCAGGGACCAGCCTTAAAATTTTGTTTAAGCCAATGTGCTGCTAGTCACCTGGTAATGTATAGAGACTCCAGTGATTAAGCATTGCAAGAGGGAGTTGCAAGAGAAAGATTTAAAACTGATAAAAATTGAAGCAGCAGAGGTGAAGATATTCTGACTTTGGTTCCTACTGTGAGTCAAGTTCTAAAAACACTATCTGTAATGCAACTATAAAGTGTGTCTTTATTAGACCCACCCTTCCTGATAAATTTCCTCATCTAGTTTAGGTAACCCTAGTCTAGTTTACTGTGTCAATCGATTTTCTAATAAACACTGTATAATTTTTTCAAAACAAAATGACATAATGGTCAATGGAATCCAAAATCAACAACCCATGGAAGGTTGTATCAAAATTGCACTGAAAAGTAAAAAATTGAAATCCCAGGCTCATTTCAGTTGTGTGAATTTCATCATAGGAACTCACAATGCGACTATAACATACCCCATGTGCTGTTCCAATGTCGGCTGTTCTGGCGAGGTTGGAATCAATGTGGATGGCACGAATCAAACACTTAAGTATACGCGCCACTCATATCTAGTGAAGTCCCAGTTTGAAGATAGTAGCTCTGAAATCCACCATCAAGTCCTTTAAGTAGGAGGCTACTAACTTTATACCAAAAATGAGCTGGCAGTAGCCAGGTGAGTGAGAACTTTGCATGAAGTCCAACACAGACATCACCAAAGAGCAGAAATGCTTCAGAAGAAAAATGTGAATAAATCACATTTTAGAATAAATCATGTAGCTACACAGACAGCAAAGCATCTGCACAATTCATCAGTTTATACTTCAATTGAAATATAATATCCTAATCATCATCATCATCAGTGTCATCATTATCATCATATTGACTGCTAGGCTATAGAGCACTACAGTGATATGAAAAGAAGTAGAAATTTGGAAGTGGTTTTCCTATTTAATAAGTTCAATTTCTCTTTCTCCCTTTGAATTTCATTATAAATACAGGCTGTGCACATTGGATGGTAAGGTTATTTAAGATGATTTATGAAAAATACAGATTCTTTTGCATTACATTGTAAAACAGAGGTGGTGCCACCAGTATGAAATGTTAGTCTGGAGCCCTGTGGAAGTAATGTTATTAAAATTTACTCTGCCTTTACCAGCTGCAACATTAAATGTGATGAACACAATAATGCATTAGTAATCCAATAATATGCCAAGACCTACTTTTACTCTTGGCACTTTAGGTTATATTTTGATACTAATACAGGTGCATCACAAAATTTGAATATCATGGAATTTTTTTTTTTTTTGTAGTCATTTAATTCAAAAACTGAAACTCATATTCTGGATTCATTACACAAAGTGAAGTATTGAGCCTTTTTTGTTTTCATTTTGTTGATTATGACTTACAGCTCATGAAAATCAAAAACTAGTATGTCAAATTATTTGAACATTTCCTAAGATCTATCAATAAAGTATTTACAGAAATGTATCAGAACAGTATATCCATATTCTTTTTGGAGAGAAGGGACTTTTTCCTAGATATCTTTTTGTGAAAACCATATTTGTTCAGTCTTTTTCTAACGGTGCTGTCATGAACATAAATATTTAATGTGCTTACAGATGCCTGTAGGTCATGTAATGTAGCTCCTGGGTTTGTCTTCATATCTCTCACCATTAAACCATCTGAACTTGGACTGAATTTGCTGGGAAGATTGGCAGCAGTCTTGTAGGCTCTGAATTTGTAAAGTCTTTCTCACCGTAGAATGATGCTTCTCAGACTGTTTGCAGATGGCCTTATAATGTGTCCCCTATTGATGAGCAGAGACAGTTGCTTCTCTGAGGTCATGGCTGATGTCCTTTGTTCTTGGCATGATGTAGACACACCTCAGTACTCCAGAACACCAAACTGACAAACAGTTCTGCTTTTTTATTTTCCCACCTGGTTTCTGAATGTTGGTTTACTTTTGGCAAACAGTAAGCGTATATTGAAATCTGTTTTTTGTTTTGTTTTTTTGTCAACTGAGGTTTTTTTATTTGTTTCTGGAGGTTGGTGAGGTCTGCACAATAGTTTTTGAGTCCCTATGAATAAAAACATAGAATTGGAGTGTGCTTTCTTTTTACCATGATTATATATACTATACACATAGTCACATATGCATAGGTGCATGCATATACATGTATTCTTATGCAAATAAAAATGCAAACAATAATAGTTATATTGTCTGCAATAATAGTAATAACAATGAGAATATGAATAATACATTGTTTTAAGATTTTGTATATATGATGAGCTGATTCCAACCATGTTAGAGAAGCCAGTCAAAGCTGGTAGCTGGCATGATGCGGCTCTTAGTGATAAAGAGCAGATTCAGGACTCCCAGGCAAACTCAAACTGTGGTGGCTGCAGTTTGGTCTTTTGCCACGATGGTTATGGCCACTGGCAATGTGTGATTCACCAATTTCTAAGGTACAGAAGCTAGAGAGAATGTTTAACACATACATTAAATAGGGCTGAAAGCTCTGCGCTGCCTCAGCATTGTGGCCCTGCACAGAAAAGGGATTTTGGAGCTCCTTATAACCAGTTTAAGAGAGGAATTTAAATGCGCTAAGGCTAGACTAGAGATAATGGCATCAGAATCCAGGGATTTAGTGGTGCAGAGTGCAGCATCAACAGTCTCAGTAGGGAGGGAGTGGAATCCAAAGGAGGCAGTGTTGCAGGCTCAGGCAGCTCTTAAACAGAGGGATATTCTGGCGTAGGTACAGCATGGACATGGTGGTTTTGGTTTAAGCACATCACAACCTTCTGTGAGCAAAGCAGCAGCAGCTCACAGGAGGAAAATGGTTATTGAGGAGATTAAGAGGCAAGTAGAGGTGCAAAGGTTGTCACCCAGGCTCAGCAGGGACTGGGTGAGATGGAAAGATGTAGATATGAAGAAACTTTAGTTGGAGCGAAATGTGGGACATGGAGACAAAAAGGATTAGATTTATTCTAGCTGCAACTTACGATGTGCTTCCATCTCCCCAAAAACTGAATAGATGGACAGTAGAGGTCCCAAATGGCCCTTCTGTTCAGCATCACTTCAGCTCATCCTCTCAGGGTGTAAAAACAAGCCTGGCTCAAGGATGATACACCTGGAGTCGTGATCAAGTGTTGAAATGTTTAGCAGCAGCTACTGAAAGGAGGCACTCAGAGGTAAACTCAATGGAGGAGAAGAAGAAACGAAGGGATTTTGTTTGTCCATGAGGGTGACAAAAGCAGGAAGCAAGTCATTTTGAACAGGTGGGATGCAGGCCAGCTAGAGGCAGGGAGAAATTGGCAAATGAAAGTAGATTTAGGGAATCGGCTCATAATTCCTGAGAAGATGGTCAGCACTAACCTCAGACCAGAAAAGATGGTCAGCACTAACCTCAGACCTTGTGTTGTGTTCAGAAGCATAGTGGACTGTGTATTTTGTTGAGCTTTTAGTTCTCTGGGAGGATGCTGCAGATGTAGCTTATGAGAGGAAGAAACTGAAATACACAGAGTTGGCCATGGAGGCAGAGGAGCATGGCTGGAAAGTCGAAGTCCACCCTGTGGAAGTTGGTTGTAGGGGATTTGTAACCAGTTCGGCTGTCTCTCTGCTAGGAAAGTTAGGTATAAAATGGTAGAGCCTAAGACAGGTAATTATGAATATAGCTGATACCACAGCTAGGTCCAGTGAGTGGCTCTGGAGCAGAAGAAAGGTGTGTGAAAAGGAGGTAAAAATAGGCAAGTGATTTATAAATAGCAACATATGTAAGGATTATGACTTACGTAAGTTGAAGTAGACTAGCATAAGAGAACAGGCTTAATAAAAGCGTTTGATACATGCAGCAGGCTTGAGGCCTACTTCCTGGTGTTAGCATGAGTGAGCTAACATGAAGGCATAGTAGAAGTTTGGCTGGTTTGTTGGAATGAATACTAACCCAGGGTGGGTTCTGATGTAGTATAAAAGGAAACGGAAGTCTGGGTGGTTATGTGGTGAGCTGCTTGAAATGTTTGGTGGCTAGAACAGCAGTTGAAATGTTTGCTAGTGACTGTTTGGTGACAGCCTGAGTAGACGGAGGGTTGTGTTGGGTGTGTGGGTGCAGTAAAAGAGGGGGGTGGTTCTTGAACGCTGGAACACACTGTTGATCCTTCTCGGCATCATGGGCCCAACTCAATGAAACACCAGTTAGAGTATGCCCACCCGATGGCCCTGTAGACCTGCCGTCACTCCTGCACCCACACAGAACTTATATTAGGATTGGTGATAATATAGTTACAGACTCACTGGAATTGTTAATAGTCTTCTTTTGTTTGACAGTCTTGGTAGAACAGTGTCAGTGGTTGGACAACTGAGCGGACCTGGCTCTCAGAGCTCACTGCCGTTACAAGCCAGTTGGACCAGCCACTGCTTAACCTGAGCAAATACAATGCAGACGCTGGGTGTCAATCCACATATCTGCTCTTTGCTTGGGTGAGGACAGGGTTCAGGGATGCTTTGTGTTTAAGGTAGGCTAGCTCTGGAAAATGGTGTTGCTTATTGTGGGGCTTTGAAGATTTATGATGGCATGGCCTGACACCCCCCTCTTTGGGGCCAAATAAACAATTGAACTTGTATACTGAGCTTGCATTTAATTGTGTATCATTGACTGAATGTGTTGTCAGTATTACCATACAGTTATAATGCAATATGTTATGGTAATAAAGTAATAGTTGGTTGTGTGGGATAGGTTGAGTAAATAAACAGAAAGAAAAGAAAAAATACAATAAATGTGCAATAATAAATAAAATAGCTGTCCTAAAATAGTTATTCATTTATTGATAATTAACAATAATAAATACTAGTGTTATCTATTACTGTCTACTGCACAGCCACGTCGACTACTTTAGTAATATGAAAACTAAATAATAAAAATAGTAAAAAAAAAGTAATATAGAAGAAAATAAAACGGGGAAACAGGAATGCAGAGAGCTCAAAGATGGTAAAAAAAAATTTAACCCTCCTTTTTGTTCCTCTTTCTTTTCTTTTTCTTCTCTCCTTTTGGTTTTACATATATTTGTGTGCAGAAAATACTTATTGAGTTGAGTTAAACAGGACCAGCTCATTTCCTTTGAATTTGTCACCCATCTGTTTGTCAGAAAATGTAGATATCTGCTAGGAAGCCACTAGGAGAAAGTCAGTTAACTTTTTCCTATTTGGAGATGTCTAAAGTCCTTGTTGTAACACTTCAGAATATTGTTTGGATAGAGGTGGAATTTTACATGTCTATTGTACTCTGATGAAGCAGTTTGCTAAGACCTGATTGCTATTTGTTGAGACAGATGAAATGGTGAAGTATGAAGGTCTGGGAGTGGAGCTGGCTTTTCCTCTTCTTGACCAATCAGATCCCCTGCTGCTGCTGCAGCTCCAGCATAGATACACAGCGGTCTGCCTGGCACTCAAACACACACTAAGGTACAACACACACACACACACACACACACCAAGTTAAAACTGTCTAGAGGTTTTCACTAAGAGATTAAGACTATTGTGATCTGGCTGTCAAGAGTAAAATTATAACTGGGTAAAATGAGCTTTGCTTATGAAGATGAGAAAGAACCTAATGCCCACTCCTTGAAGATTATTTATTTGTAAGATAGCAGAATCTGCAACCCTATGGCTTTATGGCACTAGCTGGACAGACGAGAGGACAAAAAATAGCCCACTTGGAGTGTTCCAAATAGAACTTAAATGACTCAGGATGTCCTGATTTATAATTTCCACAAATGGTGAAAACCAGATTATGATCTCATTATGGAGGATGTTTCCTGTAGTACACCACATGGATGGCAGGATTGTGCTGGCCAGTGTCAATCAAAGAACTCCTTTTGACTCTAAATAAAATCAATCAGAATGTTATTATCAGTTGTAGACGTTGACAGTATATGTAACAGGAACAGAGGAATAACTAATCTTAAAAATCTTAGACACTCTTGGAGCAAAGTAAAGTATTTAGCACGTAGTGGCTTCAGAAATTACCTTGACCCACTTAGTTTTGCACACTTCATGTTGTAGATTTGATTTTTATATAGATGTGTGCCATTTTTACCCATAAGTACACTCAGTAACCCCTAATGACAAAGTGAAAACATGTTTTGCAATTTTATACAAAATCAAAGACTAAAATTTCTTAAGTACAAAATGTCTGTGCAGATATTCTCAGTCATCCAGGTCATAGTAAGCTGAAAAAACTTAGAAAAAATCAACTGGACTAGATTTCTAGGTCGAAGACGTTTCACCTCTCATCCAAGAGGCTTCATCAGTTCTGACTAACTGGTGTTGCATTCATGGTCTGGGGTGAGGTTAGTCCTGTTGTTTAGCGTGTCATCCTTCAGCAGTCTCTTCTTCACCGCCCTGACAGCCTCTGTGGTGGGGATGCAAGTGAACAAGGATGTGACATACTGTATGAGGCCATGGTCTCGTCCTGCTCCAGCTGCAGTTGTTGGACTTTCCTTGCAAAGTCCTGGGAGTTTATTATGTGGTTTTCTGTGTTTCCCACCAAAGGAGCCAGAATGGGGGCCACGTGCTTGGCTATGTTGTAAGTCACAGAGTTGATGCTGCTGACAATGGGTCTGAGTGGGGCCCATTCCTTGTGTATTTTGGGTAGGCCATAAAGGCAAGGGATGGACTCCCTGGGGTATAGTCTGTAGTATAGTCGTCGGTCATGAGGCCTGGATGACTTGTAATTGTTTACTTCTAAACTCAGACAAAACTGAAGTTATTGTACTTAGGCCTTGAAATCTTAGAAATATGCTATCTAACCATATAGTTACTCTAGATGACATAGCCCCAGCCTCCAGTACTGCTGTGAGGAACCTTGGAGTCATTTTTGACCAGGATATGTCCTTTAAAGAGCTCATGGCATGCTTATTTCCAGCCATTTAATTTTTAATCTTGGTAACCTCTAGATATCTTTGCACCCATAATAATTCCAAATAGTCTATAATTATTTCAGAATGATAAAACCCAATATCAAAAGGAGAGCCTCCTCCTGAAAACAAGAGAATAATTTGTGCACCCACCCCCCTCCTGCTGCCGGTCAGGGAGCCATGACAATGCATAAACAAAAAAACCTTTGACAACATACTTTACACCTTGTTTTTTGAGCTTTCAGTCACATTTAAGATGATAATTTACCATTGTAACATTGTTGATGATTCAAAAAACACAGACAAGCATGCCATGGGCTCTTTAAATCACACATAAACCAAGTCTGTAGAACTGCCTTCTTTCGCCTGCGCAGTATTGCCAAAATCAAGAACATCCTGTCTCTAAGTGATGCTGAAAAGCTCCTGTCCCCTCCCCTCCCAAAGGGTGTGAATACCTCTATAGGCACTGTACCTTTGCAGGGAATAACTGGGAGTTACATATGCATGCAAGAGAAATGTGCATTCTCCAGGAGAAATCCAGTTTCTCTAATCCAATACTCTGTTTACAATAAGCATGTTTCTTGTTTACATAATCAATAAGAAGACATCTTATTGGAGAAAGCCAGTTGTATCCAGGTTACTTAAATGCATGTGAACACACTCCGTTGGGTTCTTCATCACCTCTGTGACAAAGGCCTTCTTGCCCAGTTACTTAGACTGGCTGGATGGCCAGTTCTAGGAAAAGTTATTATTTCACATTTATTGAAGCTACCATGCTCCTGGGAAAACTCAAAGCTTTAGAAATTATTTCATACCTTTGTCCTGATCTGTCTCAGCAAAATTCACAGAGGTCTACAGATAATTCCTTGGACTTCATAGCCCTGGTTTTTCTCCTGATAAGCAGTGAAAATTGTAAGACCTTACATACACAGGCATTTACCTTTCTGTTCTGTGCCCAAACAAGTCAGTTTGGTACAAGTGGACTCCAGTCGTTATCTAGACAGATCTAAATTTTGATTAAATTAAGTGGAATGCACGTAACCAATTTGAACTGCCACAGTGAGTCTTGCTTAAGGGGGATTTGTTAGGATTTTCCTCTATAATAATAATAGTAAGATCTACACCTTACTTTGTAAAGGTATTTGTATTATGTAAATAAAAGATTCCAGTTTTAGATTTTTTAATAAACTTTCTATGATTTCTTAAAATATGTTTTCACTTTGTTATTATGGGTTGTTGGGTGATGTTTGATGAGCTAAAATGGCAGTTTTGCAAATTTTACAATTAAATTTTCAACACAAAGTGTGCAAAAAGTGAAGTGGTCTGAATACTTTCTGAAGCCACTGTGCAATGCATTCACTGGTCTTTTTCTCACATATCAACAAGGATAAAAACTAAATGCCAAGCAAAGTAGTAAAAGGGTTTTTGGAAATGACAGTCCTAGGATTACAGGTGTTTATTCTGGTCTGCTCTTGTCAGGTTGGATCCATCCTCAGCTGTTCGTCTGCCTGTCAGACCAATACTCAACCTGGTGTGTCGAGCCCTTGCCGTCAGCTCCAAGAGCATAGTGAGCATTCATATATACACAATAACTATTAACAAACAGTGGTGGTATACCATCAGCCAGTGCTTTTGCATAAATGTTTATAAAATGTATGTCAAACATATGATATCAATCCCAGCTCATTCATATTTGGTTCTCTGTGTCAGAATTTAACCGGAGATGGAAGTGTGAGGATGCTGGTCCTGCCCATTATACACATCAACACATTGGCGGTCCTGGCAGCTCTTGTCACAGCGTGAGTACTAACCGACACACACAGACACAGGGTGCCTGTAGGTTTGTAGTCTTTAAAACATCGTCTCTGTGATGACATAACCACAACCTTATTTGTATAGCACCTTTCAAACAGGATCGTGCAATTCAAAGTGTTTTACAGATGACTGACAAAAATATGAATAAATGTTGTGAACATTTAAAACAGAAAATGTTTTATAAAATAGAATGTAGGACAGTTTTTGCAGGACTGTATTCCTTGGCTGGATCTCAGTTATGTTATTTAGTTTGCTTTGTTTTTTGAAATCACAGAGCTGTATATTATCCATTAAATGACTCGTTCTGAAGAGAGCAGCATGTTTTCCTGTACAGTGTTATTGGGCATTGATGGTTGTGTGTTCCTGACACTGTCTGTACTGTGTGAATTACAGTGTACATAGTGGCATGATTCAGTACGCTACAGTACTACAGAGGCTATTTTCTCAAACCCTCTCTGCCTGGACGCCTCTACCTGAAGCTACTCTGGGACAGCAGAGAGCCTACAGGTAACTGTACAGGTTCCATACCTCATCTTTATACTTCACTAATAAAAACTAACCCCTAGTGTATAAGTTAAATGGTTTGGAGTGAGTAGCACATTGTTGACGGTGTTCTACAACTCTGTGTTCAAGTCTGTTTTAACCTTCTCCATAATATCGGAATTTGACAGCGGAGCACAGTGCCCACCGCATTCTATCTGAAAATGGCTTTACACTGCTTTATCTTGATATCTGTGTCCTGTTCACTGCTTGTCAGTTTAAATTACTGTCTCTTTTGTTGTGGCACAGTTAAAATTGATTAATTTTAAAAGGCCTACATTTACTATGTGTATGAATGGTACACACTGATGAATGTGAAGTGTACATTTAGTCAAACTATCTGGGATATACAGTATGATAAAGCTGGGGAGCTAGCAGGGAGTTGGAAGGAGGAGAAATAATTTGATAGGTAGTTGAAGCATTTGTTTCTTGTGTGTTTCCTTTCATTCCACAGTTCAGTTCGGGCATCAGTGTACAGAACCTTAGAGCTCTGGGTTCAAGTGGCTGGAGCCTCTGCAAGCATTCTTCAAGGAGGCCCAGGCCATTTAGAACTCCTGTTTAATCACCTACTCAGTGACATCACACCAGGGGCGGAGTCTGTCAAGGTGAGTCTCCTCTGTGTTTACTTTAACCAGCCTGTGAGGGGCTGCCACTGAATGATCATGACAGGTATTATGTGCAGAGGAGTGACCTGTTTAAAAAAAAAAAAAGCACAGGAAGTCTAATCTGACCCTTCTGACAATGGTCGCTTGCTTAGAAATCAGATATGATTTGAATCTAAGACCACATTTGCAACTCAACTCTGATATGAAAAAATCTAATATGATTTGTTCACATGTTTTGTGAAAAGATCAGAGTTCTGGGTCACTTGGAGGAAAAAGAGTTGGCAGCAACAGTGGGCCACTTGATTATGTAATGTAAACATAGCTTAAATGTTGTCTCTGTTGCTCCCTTTGTCTCTCTGTGCTGTGTGGACCTTTTTTCCAGCTCCGGGCAGGTCTATCAGCTGACGTGGTTCCTGGAGGAAAACCAGGCCCTCGGAGGACGAAACCTTTGGTCATAGCAGATGCAGGGGGCCCGTCACTGCAGAGGAAAGGAGACCCTCTGGCCAATCAGGATACTTGTCTTTCAGCCCTCAGAGGTGCCTTGCTGCCCTAGTCTTAATCAGTCTTTTGTAACTGGTCCTAAATTTGGTGCAGTCACACAGATGTTTTCTTCTTTACAGTGCTGAGACAAATCATAATGACAAGTGGCACACTGCTAAAGGATGATATACATAAGGTAAATGTTGTTGTTATAAGCTCAGAACATTAAAAAACATTTGATTTCTTAACTGTAACATGAACGTTTTCACTATGACTACTAAACTAACTACTATTACTTTGACGAGGGATATGACAGACTACATGTTTGTACCCTGCAAGGGCCCAGGAGTAAACACAGAATAGTGTCTGTGGTGTGTGTGAAACTGGCTGCTTGTTTTCGGGAAGGCATAAGAAATGAGGGTGGACCCATCTTTGGGTCACATGAAGAGGGCAGCAGCCTATGTGTTTTCTGTCTTTCATGGAAAACAGTGTTTTACTGGTAGTAAAAATGAAAGCTAGCTAGCTAGCTCTGATAGGGTAGCTACTCCACAAAGCTAAATGTGAAAGTCAGCTTGCTAATGTTAGAATGTTATTTGTATCACTGATATTTAATGAGTATCATTCTGTCCAGTATTCCAAAAATATTGTGAACAGAAGAGCGATCTGTGCTTCTAGTGGTCAGTGTCGGCCCACCATGTCTTAGACACTGGAAAGAAAAAAAAAAAACAGGCTTTGTATTTGGACATCAGGAGGCATCCCAGACGCATCATCGACCGTTTACCAACCACTGTTTGCCAATTCCGACACTCTATGACCGCTGGGTTGGGCTGTTAGCATGCTTAAATCATGTAGTCTGAAACAGGCATTACTGGGAGTTAACACTAGATGGCGCATTGATAACAGCTTGGCTCTGTGTTCAGTTGACAGACTGGTCTAGTACATATTAGCTTGCTGCAAAGGGGGCTTGGGGAGAGGAGAGGAGGTTGAACATTGTCTGGTCTTCTTTTTCTGCACATTAAATATAAGTAGGTGTGAAGATTTGGAGTTGTTTAAAGGCACCTGATGAAGCTGGGGAGATTAATCAAAGTAAAATAATGAGTAATATAACATTATTTTTTTTACTGATGAGTAATTACTAAAGTAATGTAATACATTTTTAATGAGCAGTGTTTAATCAGTAATTTATTACAACCTTCAAGTAACACTGCTAAACATTCAACAGAGCAGGACTAACCAGTTCAGTCAGCTACTGTAGAAACTGATTGGATTAAAAACCTGCACCCTCTTCACCAGGACTACAAACTGCAGAAAATGATCATGTTTGTTTCTGTGGTTTCCTGTAGAGGGAAGGTACATTTTAAGTCTCTTAAAGGTTTCCCTCACTTTTACTTGAGTCTTAGTCCTGCCCACATATTATGCAAGGAATAAATGTGAGGAGAGAGGAGTCAAGGAAACACATTATTAGGGATTTGAGACATCCTTTCCTCCAGTCCATCATGTGAAGGGTCCAGTCATCAACTGCTTTCTGATAAAGGAGTGTGTCAGTCCACAGAACCCTTTCGTAGAGGATGGTCTCGTGTATACTGTACTTACTGTATGGGCTCCTACAGCGTCTTCCTTGATCTTCACTCCTCAAGCACAGTTTTGGGACATTGAGGATCCTCGCTCGACCATGAGATCATTCCTTTTGAGCAAGGATTGAGGACTGAGGAACAATCATAAAATCCACTGTACCTGTAGGAACCTAGTGAAAGGAGAACCCGTGACAAGCGTTTACGGGTTCTCCATTTTTTCCACTATCTTCCACTCACCTTGCAGGTGCATTCTGGGAGAACTACATTTTGGCACTCCTCAGGACTGGTACTCAAACTGAAGGAAGGCAGAGGGTGCTGGCAGAGCTGTCTCCCATAACTGTTAAATGTCAGCTTCTTCACTCGTCAACCTTGAGCGTTACATGAACAGTATGTAAACGCACTCACTGGTTTAGAAGTAAAACAAGGGCTTCACTTGTTGGTTTTGAGGCAAAACAGGTTTAGCGGTATAAAGCTGTGAAGATGTCACATTTTTGCTAATTTGTTTTGTTTTGTTTTTTTGCTTGTTCAACAGTTGTTTGATCAACTGTTCATACAGTCTCAGTTACTGGCTGATTGTTGTACTGTGGATTCACCCAGAGTAGGACATCTTCTGAAGCTGTGTCAAGTGATGGTTAAGGGAAGCACGGGATGTACCACTCATTAGGTACAACAGTGAAAACCTAGCTAAAGAGACTTGGGATGTACCTATAGTGCTCTTGGACAGGATAATGGCATGGATGGTTCTCTTTTCCGTCTTCATCATATAGCTACTCGCTCTAATGCGCAATGCAGTGGCTAGCAGATAACAGTCTCTGGTTTTCTGTTCTTTTTTGATTTTTCTCACAGCGTCTCCATGATGTTGTTCTGCCACTGTGTGTGCGCCTGCAGCAGCAACAGTCCAGCAGCAGTACTGCATGTGAATCTGCGGGGGCCATCAGCGGGCAGTACAGCAGTGCCCTCTCTCGACGAGAGCTATACCGGTACTGCCCTTTAAAATCCCTTTCTGTAGCATTTTCAGCAAATGAAATACAGAATCATTTGTAATACAGACACATCTGAATCAGTTAACTAATTTATCAAAACTAAACGCAAACATGACACTCATATGTACAATTTCCTGAACAACTATGGTAGATTTTGGAACACACCTCCACCACAGTTACCAAAACATTAAACGAGGGAATATCTTTTGGAAGAATGGTGTTCCATCCCTCGAGTAGACCAGTAGAATCAGTGCCAAGTTGTGGTGAAGCGGTTCTGGTGACACACTGTGGCCCAACACCTTACTAAGACACTTTATGTTTTACCTTTAATTTGTCATATGTGCACAAGATAAGCTAATGATGTTTGACTTAGCTACAAAAAAAACTTTAAATACTCTTAAATATAAAAACAACTACTCTGCATCATTCTCTATATCTCTCTGGTCTGAGTCAGGCCATAGAATTTCATTCACATCACATAAGGTGTTAACACTGCCAGATAGCATAGAAAGTGTGCTCTGCTGTGCCTTATACACCAGTGGCTGGCTTTCCTTTCTGTTAAAGATTGGGAAGTTAAAAGGTTGGAAAGTTAATCTAGGAAGTAGATATGCTGTGTTATATGGAGCCAAAGTAGCATGGCATAGCAATGGAGAGCCTGTGTTACTTATAGAATGTTTGGCCTCCATCACCCTTCTGATGTCTTCCACCATCTGCTTGGTTAGGCAATCAAGGTAGCTTTATTTACAACCCCCAGTTGGGACGGTATGTAATATCAAAGTTAAAACTGAATATAGTGATGTGTAAATCATCTGTGTCCTGTATTACATTGAAAACAACACAGCAGCACATTATTTGATGTGATACCTCATCAACTTTATTCTTTGTTCAAAATAAACTCACTTCAATTCTGATGCTGCAACACATCCCAAGAAAAGTTGGGGTGGTTGCATTTCAGGACTAGTGATGAGGTAAAACAATGAAATGATTCAATCTGAACCTGCTGATGTCAACGGGTTATTGCAGTCATGATTTGGTACAAAAGTTGCATCCAGGAAAGGCTGAGCTCATTAAGAGAAAAGATGGGCCTGCGGCCGCCAGTTTTCCAGCGTGTGTGTGAGGAAAATCATTGAAAGTAAAGATGTTTAAAAACAATGTTCCTCAAAGAAAGATAGGAAGGGATTTAGATGTGTCACCTTCTACGGTGCAGAACATCAATAAAAGATTCAAGGAATCTGGAGGGATTTCAGCGTATAAAGGGCACAAGCCTAAGCTGAATCCCTCAGACGCCGCTGCATCAAGAATCGTCACTCTTCTATAAGCAATATAACCACATGGGCTCACAATTACCTCACCTGTGTCTAGAAGCGATCTTTGATAAAGCTTATAGTTAGGGCTTCCCTTAGTTATGCTGCTATAGGCCTAGGCGGCTGGGGGGCCCATGATGCTCTGAGTTTCTCTCCTCTTCTTTCCTGTCCTCCTCTTTCCTCTCTCCATCCATCTATATCTCACCACTACACGTCACTAACTGTGTGTCTCCTCTCTCCCGTAGTGTGTCCTCTCTCTTTCCC